AGGAAGCGTCTTCACATCCTTCACACTGTTTCTGAATCGATGTTTCACAAGGATGTAGTCCAGCTGATGCCTCTTCCAATCCCCAGGTGCCTTCCATGTGTAAATTCTTCTCTTTGGCTTCTTGAACCAAGTGTTGGTAACAATCAATCCATTTCGTTCACAAAAGTCAATAAGCATTTGACCTCTGTGATTCCGTCTTCCTAGTCCATGTGATCCAACAATATTCATGGTGTTCATAACCAGCTAAAAATCCATGTACACGTATATCTTCGTTAGGCATAACATTGATATGTTTTAAAATGTGGGAAGAGAATTACACCCAAATTTTCCGCAACTTTCCTCGTTCTCTCCATACGTTTTGAAAGGGACAAGACCGCTTCCCCTTCCAAGTATTGCAACTCTCAATTTATCAGCCTAACATTCCATCAAACTGACACTGTAATAACCGATGAAATAAACAATAAACCTGAACAAGCTTCTGTCCTGTTCTACACAGTCTGGGTCTGTACATACACAGTGCGTCCAGGTTCTGTTAGGACTGTGTTCCTTAAAAATACAAGACATGAATTATTTTCAAAATTTCACTCTTTTTATTCAAACTAGTCTCCTTCTGAATCAATACATAGCTGGAATCAATTGAAAAGTTTTGGAAAACAGTCACTGTACTCCTTTTGTGGAATCACATTTAAAACTGCGGTAGATTCCTTTTGGATGTCCTGGATAGTGTCGTGACGGTCTCCATTCATCGCCAACTTAACTTTTGGGAACAACCAGAAATCTGCTGGAGTCAAATCTGGCGAATACGGCTGATGATCAAGGACTGTGATCCCTTTCCTGCCTCCCCCCCCCAAAAAATCGGGCACGATCTTCGATTTGTAGGGTGGGGCATTGTTGTGGAGGAGCGACCAGGAACCTTGCTCTCGATACTCAGGTCGAATTCGAAGAATTCTCGACCACAAACGATTGAGGGCTCAGAGATAATAATCAGAATTCGCTGTTTGACCTTCTGGCAGAAATTCCTTGTGAATGATTCCTTTGGAATCGAAGACAGCGGTCAGCAGTGTCTTTACTCGACTCTTTTGCATGAGCACTTTCTTTGGTTTCGGCTTCTTTGGGCTCAACCACGCTGCACTCTGCCGCTTTGTGAGAGGCTCATATTGAAAACACCATGTCTTGTCACCAGTAACAATCGATTTTGTAAATTTTATATCACTTTGGGCCGACCGTAACATGTCTTTGTAGTGTTCCACTCTGGCATGTTTTTCATCGCCTGACAGCGCGTGCTGTATAAACAGCGCACAGACCTTCCGTTTGCCCAAAGCCTCGGTAAAAATTTGATGAACAGTACTTTTTGGTATTCCCGAAAGCTCCTCGGTGAGTCTTGCAGAAACACGTCTGTCTGATGCAAGGATTTCGGTCACTTTTTCCACATTTTCTTCAGTGCGACTTGTTCTCGGCTTTGATGCACGTGAAGCGTCTTCAATGTCCTCACTGCCGTCACGAAATACAGCATACAATGGAAAAATGTTCGAGCGTCTCAAACAATGACTACCGTACACACTTTTCATCATTTCGTACGCTTCTCCGGTTGTTTTGCCTAACTTCGAACTAAATTGAATGTTGGCGCTCTGTTCAACCGCAATTTTCCGACGAGCGTCAGAACACATGATGCAGCTATGCTTGCACTTTGAAATTATAGACAGCCACAGCTGAAACTTCAAGAATCTTAACGCCACAACTCGCCAACAGATGGCACTGTAGCGCAAATTTAAAAAATGAGTCCTAACGGATCCTGGACACACTGTGTACAACGACGTGAAATTAAGTAATGATAATTTCGTATCACACTGTTTAGTTTGTTTCAGACGCTATGCTGTCAAGACCGCCGCCATTCACGAAATCTTCCGGCATGACCTACATTAAAGTACGTGGGAGAGTCATTACCTACTACAATACAGCCTGCCTTCCATTGACGACGCGGGAATGGAGCAACGACGTACGAGAATCCAATGCCGTGAGAATATTCAACAATGACTGCAACGTTGCATAATGCGTACGTTTCCGACCTTTGAGAACGTTCCTTGCCCTCAAGACTTTAACAAAGGAGGGTGCGAAATGAGAAAGTCAAGACCTGAAATAATCAATCTGCTGCTCGTGCCAGACAACTCCATACGTGAAGGTCAGACGCTCGTAACTGTACAGAATGATTTACTCGTTACGATATACTGCAGAAAAAGCATGAACTCCCATAAAACATGAATCTATTATTTTTACGAGTATGCCAAAAAAAAAGCATGCAAGTAGTCCAACTAAAAGTGACTGAAATGGTTCAACACACAATATTTCGAGCCCGTTCCATCCACACTACCTATCTGCACCAAGATAAAGCTCACTAATTAACTAGCTCTCTCTTGACGGCGGCAGACCTGTGGCTCCAACACCGCTAGTACCAAACGCCGCCACTGGACACGAGCCTGAGCCAGTTCTATCTACATCCTCTCTTCTACTATAACCATTAGCGTAAATTTTAACAATGAAATAATTTAACGAGAAACTGGACGAACTGTATTGTTCATTTAAGAGTAAGGATATGAGAAGCAGGCGGTATCTACATAAAGGTAAACACGAAAGACATGCAACTTTTGAACAAAGTGAGAACAAAAGAGGCTGGAATTTATCTTGAGAAAGTATATACAGAATCTGATGTGAGAATGCGAAATTTTGCCTTGTTTGAATTTCCCCCTTCTTTGTAATGAATTTTCAATTTCTCTTTCACGACGGGAAAATATTCTGGTACACTGCACAGTTTCGCTGAGGTGAAGCAACACAGGCACTGCCCATACCACGTTTTGTACAAACTGGGCAGTGGGCTCAACAGATAAAAAGCCGAACTCGGGGATAGTTGGTCCGGGTTAGGTAGACATGTGGCAACGCCGCGCGCTTCATTACACACGTCAGCTGACCTGCACCAGAGGGCAGTGACCAGCGCCGCGGTTAGGATTGCCGATACTAATCAGACGGCTTTCAGCCAGTTCACACAGTTTAATATTATCTCATAAGTTGATGCGTTCAGAAGAATCCGAACGCATTTCTCGTCTCAAATCCGACTTTCGCCAATGATGAGATCACTGGGGCACTGCGCACGGCAAAATGTCTTGGAGGAAAAACCAGACGAAAATAGATAACTTGGAAGTTCTATGCGTAGATGGGCGGATAATATAAGGTGGGTCTTAAAATTCCATCCAAAAGTACCCCGAACCCGATATTCTTCATGTCATTCCGACAGATGGATGGCATTAACCCCCCCACGTTGCCCCTAATTTACGAAGATTGCAGTATGTACCCTACAACATACAGCTTTCTTTGGAAATCGCAATTTAAAAAGAAAAAATCTAGAATGCCAGTGTTTCTCCTGCATCAAAACAGTTTTAATGCCCGTCATTTGGATTTGGAGTAGGCGTAACTTAATAACATAAGGCACAGATACGTAACAGAAACAAATTCTAATCACTCTTATTCAGCATCTCACATGCAGACATGCCAAAATCTCGTAATTCGCGTTTTTGAAAACTATTTTTCACATCACTGTGCGCTGCATGTTTCGACCGACATGGTCAACAACAGGAGCTTCGGAAATTGCTGTACTTTCGTCACTGAACATAGTATCAAAGTATGCCCTCGTTTATGCGCCCATGTGTTGTTGCGCGTGATTCCCCTTACGTGTCGTGTGTAGCTGTTAAGATTTTAACAAAAGAAAGCAGTCTTCTGGGATTTTGCACCGTGTATATGTCGTGTTAACCGACGTTTCGGAGGAACGTATCGCCTCCATCCGAAACGTCGGTTAACACCACATATACACGGTGCAAAATCCCTGAAGACTGCTTTCTTCATAGTCACCGCCGTTAAAGCCTCAAATCTTACATTTTAACAAAAGTTTGCATGTGAGACGGTGAAGTGATATGTGACGTGCAATAGAATGCCGCAGTACGTCACAGATTCTGATGATATCCTGAAACATCTCGGTTCGTGCCTAAACGAATTTAAACCGCTGTATTTCTGTTCTATGGGACCAAAGGTAGGGTAAGTTTCATGCACATCTTGCCTTAGTGTGCAGGAAGGCCAGGCTCTTGTTCACGTTCTCCACTTTGTGCACCCTCATCTTGCCGTTGTTCGGTTTTCCAAGCTTCTCACCGGAGATTATTTCCAGCAGCTTCAGCAACTTCTTGCCGTCCGCTAGGTCTGTAAACAGGTCCTCCACCTCCATCCGCGCCTGCAAAACACATGAGGCTACAATCTGTTACCCTGTAAGGTGGCAACGTTCAGTGCTGACTTGAAATACCAAATTTCGTGTAAATCCGTCAAATGGTTTGCTTGATTTGAGGATCTCTAGTGCAGTTTATGGAGGACAACAGAGCCATGCAGTGGTATCTCGTCTTGGAGGCGGATCGATGCGGGTACAAACTGTCACAACCAACCCCCAGGTTATGCTGAACATCAAACTCCAGCCATTTAAGTCATAGTCCATTAATGACCTAGGGCGAATATCTGACGTCGTGTGAGATCTCAGCTTATCATTGCGATGAATATAAAAATTGTCGTCTGTGATGTGACGCCGTGCAGTCTGGTATAAATTTACCGGCAGATGACACGGCATCACATTCCAGAGCACATACAGTAATTTTCTTTGATGGCACGTTTGTTCTATTTCAGTGAAGTCAGAGCAATCTCTGGGAATGCAAACGCATGCAAAAAGTCAATGAAGTGCTCGGTCATGATTTCTCTCTTCCTTTCGTTATTCAAACCACAGTTTGTACCAGTCTCACGTAAATCATGGGCTATACTTGGCCAGTTCGAACCAAAATTTAATTCCTCTTCCCCCAATAAAACAAGTACTGTACATCCCCATTATACGTTCACTTTATTCAATTTGTGTATAAAAAGATGGAGGCTTTACCTTGAGCAGGAAAGAGTTCATCCATTTGGTGAAGGTCTTCTTCTGTATGGCCAGCCGCTCTTCTTGCAGCGCCCGGATGCGGCCCTGTTCGAACTTGATGACATCCTCCCTCTGCGTCATAGCTGTTGCGTCGGGGTCATACTGCGACACGCCTGTGGGGGTACTGCCACCTTTATATTCGTTACGTCGATAAAAAGTTGTACATCTTAACCCTTTAAACCACAGCGGTAAGAATATGTACTACCTGCTTCAAAAGCATTAACTCTGCATTCTGCCCACACAGCGTACTTATGTGCTAACACAATAAACAGCATTAACCGGCTGGTCCTTGTAGCGAAGACGCAATGTGCTTTCTGTGAGGTACGACCAGAGTTGTATATATAACGTACTGACTGAAAGAATTTATGCCACATGCAATTTGGCAAGCTGCATCTCAGGTTCATATGGGACCAAGACGCGCCGATGATATAGTTTCGGAGCTGAAACTTGAGGACAGACAACAGATATGGCGTTTTCATTTCATGCAATCTGCGTACAGACCACAAGACTAATTGAGATCACGGGCAACAAAGCTCATCACCGAGCAGGCACAGAAGGAATTTCGCGTCAGTAACAGCAAACACTGCAGTATTCCAAAGCTATGTCTAACGGAGGTGAAGGCCGCGGGCCACACCCGGCCGGAAACGCCCGAGGGGGTGAACTCATCCAAACGGAAGTTTCCCAACAAACTTCTCCCGTTTTTCTTCATGGATTTGGCAAGTTATAACCTGTACCGAACTCTTAACCATCTGTTATACTCGACATACAATTTCATATTTTAATCTATGTTAACTGTTACTTCGCTTGTGTTACCTGAAGCAACCGATCGGCCGTATCTCACTCATTTCCTGACGTGGCTGTGCTGGCGGCAGCGCTACTGGTAGGACTAATGTAGCATCGAACTTGGTTCCTCTCACAAACTTCCGAATGTTTTTGCGTGCATTGTTAACTTCTCTACTAACGCCAGGTCCTTGCCTTGTGGAAGGCAAGCCCAGAATGAAAACGGTGAGTGTAAAAGGAAGTGTGTTAATAAGTACCCCTCTCCCCACAAGCGATCTTACTTCGTCCATATTGCAGATCCGGCGGTCTCACGGTGCTGTTCGGAGGCAGCGACTCATTCGATTGCGACCTCACGGCGTCAGGGCGTCTTTCCCGTTCGCTCGCCATGGCCCTTCTGGCGTCCACCCTGCAACAAGTCGTCCCGTATCTCACCGATAACGTATCTGACAGGGCGCATCGAACTCCTTCTAACCTGAGGCATTCATGGCTTGCGCAACTGGCTTAGGGTGGAGTTAAGCGGAAGAGTCCCAACTTGTCATTTGCAACGGATTTCCTTTACCAAATTCTGCGCCTACCTCCTGTTTCATTGCATGAGGGGGAAAAATGCATATATAAATCGTCAAGTTCCTTGATGGTAAAACATTTATGGAACCACGATATGTAAAGCATGCCATTCAAAGACGTTATTACAAACCTGCGGATCAGAAACACAACGCCCAAGGAGGGTTGGAACGCTTCATTTAACTCAAAGACGGATGGAGCCAGACAGCCTTGCCCGAGAAGTCGAAAATGATATGTAACGGTGTATGCGAGGGTATATATATACGTGTATACATATATGACAGTCACATACCTCAGGCTTACTCTAAGCATTAAAACCGAAGGCTCCAGGACTCGCATGCCCTCCGCACGGACAACGCAATGCGATTCACACGTCTTCCTACTGAACCTTGTGATTCGCCTCACATGCGTGACGACGCGCAGCCTCGCGTCTACTTCCGGTGCCGGATTTTGTGGCTGAGAAGCAAACCAGCCGTGGTCAGACTGCACCATGTACCGTACTTACCAATGAACAACAAATGATTACCAGATGAATCTTATACAGACGTTAACGTTAACATCGTGTAGTCTGGTGGACAGGCACCACCGCTGCAAGGGAGAGCACGACGATATGCCACGACACACAAGGTCAGCATGTCTACTGTACAACAGTCTGTCTCCAACTTCATACCGCCACAATTGTTATTAAAATACTGGCGCCTGTTAGTAACATAGTCTATTTAATTAAATGAGCTGGATACCAAATTTTACGTTTATCCCTCCGAAATAATATAAAACACAATGAGCCTCCTTTACAAGGGTAACCGGTTAATGCTGTTCACGGAAACAACTACTGCGAGAACACATAGAGACGCTGTGGACAAATGACGTTTTATAAATGGTGAATCGGGTGGTACACGTGGTTACCAATGTGCTTAAAATGGTTACAACATAGAAATCACTGCTAAAGGTCTATTTACACATATCCGTGACGTGTCAGTACCGCGTCCGGTCAGTTCCGTGAAATTTCATCGGTGTCAGTGATGATTCTTATAGTTCCTTTGAACTTGACGGACGCATCCACACATCTCCGGCGCAGTGCCGTATCCGTTCCGTGACACTGTGTATCGTCGCCAACGATATTTTGCATATTTGTGAAGAAAAATGAATGACGAACAACTTATTGAACTGGTTAGCAGTTATCCTGTTCTTTATGATTTATCGCAGCCAAAGTATATGGCCAGCATTGGAATACGATAGGAAAAGAAATGAAAGCAGATGTTATAGCAGTGTTACAGCCTTTCTCCAGCGGGTGTCTTGATGTTTTAAATTAACTTCTATGGCAATATGTTAAAACAATCTTCAGACATTCTGAAATATCCAAAAAATTTCGTCTCACCATCAATTAGTCCCTTATACAGGGTACCGAATTCTCCATCACGTTCTCTATTCACCCATACCTCATGTACCCACTTCCGTTTTTTCACCTCACGCTGTTCCTCTTCCCTTTCATCCAGAATTATTGCAATCACTGCCAAACTTTGTCATCTCGAAAATCACTGACTTCGAACTACTGAAACGATACTAATAGTGTGTATAGCCGTCACTGACCCGTCACGGATGTGTGTAAATAAACCCTAAGTCTTTTTTTTTTTTAAGACTAACAGCACAGGGACCTGGCATCTGGGATGTAACACAGAGCAGTCTGGTCGCATTTCGAAAGAACGAGTCACCTCCAACTCCGAAGATGGGGATGGGCACGTGCCTCCAAAACCTTGGTAACATTCTACCAGACTACACCGCGTCAACCTTTAACGCAAACGTACTCATCAGAAAGATGACATCCAGACTCCATCCAACCCGTGTGTGCAGGAGGAGTCTTTTCACTGATTCAGGAATAATTAATTTTGATCCAAAACGCTTTCAACCCCCTCCCGTAAATGGAGCGAGCGCCCTTGACATTAAGAATCAGGAATTTACTGGACACAAATATTATTTTTCTGGACATTATCCATCGTCCAGCTTTTATTTAAGAACAATGTTTCGGAGACTGGAATCTGAATGTCCAGAAATATAATATTTGTATTAATGTACCATCATCACAAACTTTCAGATCTTATACAACTCTTTAATGAACCGTCACAACACAGCAAATAGTAAAACATCAAAGTCAGCGTTCAGCTGTGGTTTTGCTACATGTTTCGGCCACTATCGGCCATCATCAGGCAAATACATATCAACAAAAATCTACCATTTAACTGCAACCATAAAATGGATATAACACTATAAATTGTACAATTTTAAAATTTCTTATGCAAAAATACAAATGTTCAGATTATATAAAAATTAAAAATTGGAAGTATTATAACAAGATCAAATATTAATGATGTTTTCAAAAACACTGAATCAGTCGTTGGATATACTTTGTGTGCGTTTCCATAGACAATAGGGAAATTCGATATTACTTTATATAGAAGATTTTAAGAGAGGCCCATGGTGTAGCAATTAATGAACTGTGTAATGCTGCCTGGTCATTAAGAAGAATTGTCCGTATTTCATGGAAAGCAAACAACGAGTCGTTGTTTGCTTTCCATGCAATATTGCAGCACAGCAGGATGCATGAAATTAAGATTTCAGATCTTAATTTATCGGATGTTGGAAATCTTCAGCACTCGATGTTCCTGCTTCACGCTCCGGTCGCCATTATCCCCACAAGCCCTACTTCGCTCGATATTAAATTGTAACGCAATGACCATGTTCTGCAATGAAGATATGCCGGAAGGCTGATAACGTAATGAAGGGACGTCACACCGGCACGATTTTGCCTGTGAGCTCATTCCCACACACAGAAGGGAAACCAAGGGTCCACTTTCAGCCGCCGTGCTGCACGTTGCCATGGATACCGAACAGGATCGTCCTATTTGCCATTCCTCGCGGGGAGATAAGATAAGCGACGAGCCAGACAACCTTAAAACGGAAATCGATCCAGTCCTCGGGGGCGAATAATCATCTCATCATAGTCTCGACACAGAAGGCGTCGTTTAATAGCCAACTAAAAACGGACGCAGCTCCTGCTACACAGTACGTGGCGCGCCGACCCGTGGGCCGAGTTGTGTACAGTCCACACCACCCGACGAAACACCCTATACGGGGCAACAACAGAAACGCCGCACGCGGGCCCCTAGACAAGGGGTGAAGTTCCTCTTATACCTTCGAACTCACTCCACATCCAAACATCGACCTCCAGAAGAATGTTACAATAGGCCACGGCATGTGTATGTGTGTGTGTGTGGGGGGGGGGGCTCTCCCTGTCTTGTTAGCTCCAATGACGACCCCAACCTGACACCGCAAGATCGCCCTGGAACCAGCCACGCTCGTCAAGCAAATTGAGCTACGAACTTCGGGCAAGGAGCTGCGTATTAATTTCTGGGGCCGAACGAGGAAAATTATAAGAAGCAGGGTGATAGCGGTTGCTGCAACGCCCACGTGGGATAAACAAGCCACCAACCCTGACAATGCTCCTCTACAAAAAGAAAGAATTTAATTCTTACTGAACGTGTGTTCGGAAAGCTATACTAATAGCGACATTTACTCCTTGTAACGTGGTCCTGCAAGTCCTTCGCGCTTTTATGCGTTAATAAATAGTTCGATTTAAGCAATCATTCTAATTTAATAACATACAAGCAATGCAGCAGCTCACATTGGCATGAGATGTTCAGATCGTACACTTCTCGGAGAATATCTGACAGCTTCAGAGCCACTGCATCCTCATAAACGCTGTCCAAGCTACTGCTACAACGTGTATAGCGATTTAGGGCGTGGACAGCACGCAGGTGCGATGCGACCGTCTTGTCTGTCTGGACGTGTTCAGATCAGTTTCGTGAACACGCGGCACACGCAGGAACTGGAGCAGTCTTTTTTTTTCGGATTGGTCGGACTGTGTGCCATCGGTCTTGAAGCCACTGCACGTAAAGTCGGCCCGAGTCGGGGTCCGCCCCCTGACGCTGCACATGTGCACATGGCCATACTTCCTGCTCTGCTTTCACGAAACATTCGGCACCTTGCGCGGCCACAATTACACGGCACACACAGCTCTCCAATCCAGACAGGCCTCTTGTGAGTCTGGGGCACTAGCAAGCACGAGCTTCTGCCCCCCCAGTGTGCACTGAGTCATAACGACTGCCCACGCATAAGCCACCACCGGACATGCATATCAAGGCTGACTTGCAATTTTTTGGCAAGCAATAGAAACCCCCATCTGAGTCACACCGTTCCATGTTGGAACGGTTAAGGCCACAGAAGCCTTCGGCTCCGGGCACGATACGTTTCATTCCATTGTTTCCTTTCATACAAGATGTGAAGAAGCATCGCATTTCTCGGAAAGCCTGAAACAACGGCAGTTACGAAACGCTCCACGGGCGGGAATCCTCACAAATGACGAGTCGATATGCAATGTGACCTTCTGGAAAGTATGTAGCAAACAGTACGAAGAATTTCGGGTCTGTAACTGTTCTTTCTGCAATCAAAGCGAACAAGATTCTAAAAGCAATACGCTCTACATTTATCCTGTGCTTTCCGCTGAGGGCCACCAACAAGACCCGCGATTTTCAAATTGCTTAAAAGAAAACGAATCTAACGCAGCGCAAATGTTTCTCTGCAACTGCGCGGTGGCCTTGTTGCAGATGCACCGCATAACTGTTGAGAGATAAATGGGCAGGATTCCGTTCCATGATCTTGCAAAGCTCCTCACGCTGCCGGTTCAGTCCCATTTAATTCCATGAGGCTGAGACCTTCGTGAGAAGCCGCCACTCACTCAGCCACTCAATAATTTCCTAACACTTTATGGAACCTGAAGTTTCATTATCGTATTCAAAATAGCTCTCTGCTGGTCCCTATCCTGAGCCAGATCAGTCCAGTCCATACCACCCCATCCTATCTAAGATCAATTTTAATATTATACTCCACCGAGGTTTAGGCCTCTCTAGCTGTCTCTTTTTATCTGGCTTTCCCACAAAAAATCGAGTATGTATTTCTCTTACCCCATTTTATGCTACATGCTCTGTCCATCTCATCCTCCTTGACTTGATCATTCCAATTATACTTGGAGAAGAGTACGAGTTATAAAGCTCCTCATTATGCAGTTTTCTCCAACCTCCTGTCACTTAAGCATATCTCTTGATTCCAAACACCCTCAGTTTATGTTCTTCACTTACTGTCAGGGACCAAGTTTCACAGTCACTACAATTACAGGCAAAACTGTAGTTTTGTATAATTCATTTTTTACGCTTTTAGACAGCAGACGAAAAGACATGAAGTTCTGAACTGAATAGTAGCATTACCCGAATTCCCAACACGTTATAGCACTCCTCACACAGCCTGACGTAACGGTACCTATCCGCCATATTGCCTATCAGGATACTGGGCCAAGGTCATCACCAAAGAATGCCACCGTACACCTTACAATCGGCTCATCATATCACACTTTTCGCTTAGTGAAGGGTGGAGTCCAGCTCGGTCCACTCGGCACGGCGGCCACTGATTGGCCTACTGTACCTGCCCAGGGTAATTATGATGATGGAGAATTTGGTGGAATGAAGATTGGCAGGGGAAACCGAAGTACTCAGAGAAAACCTGCTCCAGCGCCACTTTGTCCACCACAAATCCCACTTCACCAGACCCGGGATCAAACCCAGGCCGCCGCGGTAGGAAGCCAGCGACTAAATATCACACTTTAATATTATCATTTCATCTACGTCTATGTTTCCTAATTGGTCATGTGTTCAACCTATTTATCTCTTTTGATCTAATCAAACGCAAACTTCACGCTCTGAGCTCTTGGAAGCTTTCTTTACTTTAATTTTACAACGTCGTAATATAAAAATGGTCCATGATTTATTTAAACCGTCTTGCAGTGCATACACTCATCTATCTCCTTCTCTCACTCGCACTACATGTTTCGGCATAATAATGCCATCTTCAGGTGCTTACTCATCCACGCCAAACTAGTTCATTGCATGCCTTGTCCTCACATTAAAATAACTAAACTATATATCTATCATATATATTGACAAATGTCGAACGTTAAAAATATTAAAATTGTTCAGGATTCCACATCGCTACTTCGCACCTCACTACGCCAGTCACGCCCATTCTCCTCTGTTGGAGCACTCCTTCACTATTGTGTGTGTGTTGTGCTTTTGTTGTGTCTTGCTCCTGTGACTGCGTGTGTTATACTGTTATACTGAACAGAACCGACCGGTTCTCACGGTCTCTTTGCTTGCAGATTCTTATATATATATTTTTTTCTTCTACCCTGAAGATGGAGGCGATACGTTCCTCCGAAACGTCGGTTAACACCACATATACACGGTGCCAGATCCCAGAAGACTGCTTTCTTCATAGTCACCGCCGTGAAAGCCTCAAATCTTACAAAGAGAGAGTAGTTATTTACAGGGAGCGGAGGTGGACAGTTGAAATGGGAGTTACAGGAGGGTAGCTAGGGAGTGGCGTGTATGTTCAGTGAGCTCGGGGCAAATTGGTGTGCAGAGGTTAAGTGTGACGGAGGGGCAAGCTTGGAGGAATAAAATAAAGATTAATCCCTGTGTGAAATTTTAAATTAGGACTTCAACACACGGTGTGTTCTGGAGATCCCTGATTTATTAACCCCGAAGTGTGTTCCACTCCCATATCCGAAGAAGCCGTACCGAGATAAAGAACTCAAGCTCGAGCGACTGGCGAGGCAGGTGTACTTCGGCGGACGGCTACAGTCGTCTAAAAAATCACTATTGGATGCTAAGTACCTAACAATAATATGTAAGGCCAGTTTTGCGAAATTCGACATTTTGCGTTTGGGGCCCTAGTGCTCATGCACTTACTTTCCAGACGCTGCCATCCATGACATTTTATTTAGAAATATGGCCCTCAAAAAATAACAAAATTCAATAAAAACCGTTTAGAAACGTATCCGAGAAAACTGACGTTTTTGTGGGGCATCAGAAGGGCCCCCACTCAGAACATAAACGATTAAATTCGTCGTGCACCAACCTCCCGAATATGAACAGAATCCATACAACCGTTCAAGCGCTAGTGTGGCGCACGTACATACTTGTATAGACAGCGTACCAAAATGCGTATTTTCTTATTCATGAATGGCTCAAAAGGTCTAAATCCGCTCAAATCTGGAGATGGACATATTTCACGATCACAATACTTTCTCACAGCGATAGCGTACGAGGAAGTAAACGTCAAGACAAAAATGTAGGCCTGCACAGCTATAACTATACGTGCTGTTTTACATGGGGGGGGGGAACTTCGTAATTCCCACTCTTCGCCCATATTATATGCAGACTGCAGCCACCTGCTCACCCTGGTTTCTCGCTTGCGGACTTTTCTACCCTGATGATGGAGGCGATACTTTCCTCCAAAACGTCGGTTCTCACAAGACCTACACGGCGCCACATCCAAGAAGACGGAATTCTCAAGAAACACAAAGTTTTAGCAGGGAAAACTGAAGGGAAAAGACCACGTGGAAGACCTAGGCGTACATGAGACAACATTAAAATAAAAAAAAAAAAGGTAAAGCTATCCCTGCAACAGGCCGTCGAGGCCCCCATATTTTCTGTACAATCGGCTCACAGATGGCGATGGGGTTGTCAGCCTTATGCGCGAGCCGTCCTTTACCCACAGGAAGCTCTCTCTCAAATAATAAAATTATTCGCCTTCTATGGAAACGTTTACGTTTTCTACAAAAAGCGGGTAATTTTATTACATTATTATATAAAAGAATGTTAGCTTCTGTCAGCTCATTACATTCAGGACTGTCCGTCCCGTTTTCCTGCAGAGCGGCGCCGTCCGCCCAGCTCTCAGAGCTACGAAAAAAATCAAAACGCAAAACAGGTATTTTATCGCTTTTAATCAGTATATCTGACGGGTGGTCTAGAGTGAAACCGCATGGGGCCGGCCTCATTATCGAATTCCTTTTCCTTGTCAGGTTCTAATTGGGCCACGCCCAATCAGTCCATATCACCAGCCGACACTGGACACAGTATTTTTTTTATTGCTAGTGGGGTGGGACTAAGTCCCTTGTACTGCGGCCACTTCTGGCCTATTGCACCAGCCCTAGGTGATAGGTGAGGGTGCTGCTGTTGTTGTTGTTATTGTTATTGGAGAGGGTGGGTTTCCCCATGCACTTAGACCAGATGTTGGTCCATTGTGCGTCCCCCTGTGATATTCTACCAGTCTCTATTCCCTACCGGTACTGGTGCGTGCCATCAGTCCCGACTCAGCCAGCGGGTTCGGCCTCTACTGGCTCAGCGGTATCTCGATGCTTCCCCCATCTACCAGAGCCGTTAGGGACTACTGTTGGGCGGGAAATGTCCTGAATTTGGCTGAGGTCCCCTTTTGAGACATTAGGTTCTTTTACGTGCCGCAAAGCTACGACACGAGAACGACGGCTTAAAGTCCCTCCCGGAGGACTTGTTCCCTGAATTTTTCCGCCCTTAAAAATTCCACGACCTCCGCCGGGTTTGAACCCGCGTACCTTGAGTCACGAGGTGTAGGTGAGGGTGAATGGAGCAATTGGTGGAAGGAAGATTGGCAAGGGGAAACCGAAGTACTCCGAGAAAACGTGTCCCAGCGCCACTTAGTACACCTCAAATCCCACTTGACCAGATCCGGGATCGAACTCGGGCCGCCGCGATGGGAAACCAGCGACTAACCGTGTTGTGGCCCAAAGGCCGACTCCCGGTAATATGTTAACATAGTATTAACATTTTTGTATTTTTGGGAAAATATTTGTTAGGATAGATTTGGTTTTGGGAAATATTTGTAAGAGGTACGAAAGCGGATGTACGAAAGGTTAACAAGTTAAAGGAATTTCTGCGTATGGCTTTAGACGGACATTGGCTTGCCGCGAGGGAATGCACAGTCAGCAGAATGACGTTGAATGTATATCGAACTGCTAACTACAGAATTTACACTTGCGTGATGGGGGGACGTTTGGAGGTAAAAGTGTGAACCAAACGGTTTAGCAGTAGAAGGGGGTGTGTCCCCTTAGGATCCCAGCCAACCACTTGAGACAAGACGTCATTGGAGGCGGAACTGCACCCCCTAGAAAATAATGAGTTAGCACAAATAAAGGCATATAACACAGAGACCCAAAATAGGAGGGGATTATTCTAACAGTAATTTTGGCCATTTGCGGCCGTAGGCTCTGTCCAAATGGACACCGACTCGGCTCCCGGCAACGCCATCCGTCTGCAGACTAAACGCAAAGTAAGTGGAAACTACTCTTATCGCCATGCGCAATAATTGTAATATTATTAAAGTGTAACTCCTCCAATGGGACTAGAGTTAGGATCGTTAGAAAAAGTGTACAGGGCGTAAGAATGATCAACCGAGTGATGCGAGGTAGCCAAGTGTAATGTGTAACCCGACACCAGTCGGCCCTTTCAGTGTGAGAATTCCAAATGTATATAACTGTATATTGATTGTGTTTTTACTAATATAGTGTAGCATAGGGTGAGGATGTGGATTTTTGTGGTGATTTTCTCCCCTTCCACATTTCGCACCTGCGCCCTCCTGACAAGCCCGGTGAACAGAGAGCCCCTAGCCATGAAGCAACGATAGAGAACGCTATTTAGACGTTTCCTTAGTCCATACCCCTGTGACTGCAAGAGAGGAGGTGGCAGTGGGGATACCTCCACCCCCCCTGTCACCTCGACATAACAGTGGTGGAAGCGGTGGGGATACCTTCACGCCCCACCCCACCACGACGTAACAGTGGAGACAGCGGTGGGATTACCAATCCACCCCTGTCGTAAGGATTAAGGGCATAACAAACCGCTTGAGCTATGGCGCGGCCCCTGGGCAGAGTAACTGATCGATGAGAGCTCCAATGTAAACACGGACGAGATCGAAGGAAAGCACTCACCACAGTCAGCTATGGCACACTTCAAAGTCCTGTTTCCCCTTCAAACAAGATAGTAGATATATGTATGACCTGCTATAACATTAAAGAGCTCTGCATCTGGCATTCACCCTTCGGTACAGCAGCGGACTATGGACTGGAAGGCCGAGGTTCGAGTCTCGGTACCGGTAAGATACTTCCCTCTTCTTCATGGCGTCCAGACCGACTGGGATCCACCCAGCCTCCTATCCAATAGCTCTTCCCCTTGGGGGGGGGGTAAAGTGGCCGTGGCACGAAGCTGACAACTCATCTCCATCTAGTGCCGAGGTCAAGAATGGTGGAGCTATACCTCCACTCCCGCATTTCTTCACAGCACAGTGCTTAATTAATTAAACACAGGAACAACTTTACACTTTCAGGAACCTAAAATGCAAGAGAGAAGCATCCTTCCTCTCGGCGCTTCTCGCCTTTTGAATTTCCTGACCACCTGGGGTACTATATAAGCTTCCCACTGAAGTTACTCGAAATATTTTTCTTTGTCCTTATTAAAATCGTGAATGAGACCGCAATGAGATGAGACGTTTAGGCGATCCAAAAAGAGAGATGCCCTCTTACAGTATTATGCACAAACTGAAATCGTCAATGCCAGATCTGGTAAGAATGTACTGGTGCAAGGAAACACATTCATGGCTCTGACCTCCCACCCCCGCCCAATCTTATTTTCCAAGATGAAATGAATATAGACTGGATAGCTGACTTGTCCTGGAAATTCTCGGTTGCATTTCAACGCAGTATGGACTGAATACGGGTATGTGAGATCTGACCAGGCTGGATCGCTTATTTTAACGACCCGAAGAGTAACACAGAATTTGACGGATGTGGAAGGAAGCGGTCTGCTACCCTGTATTTGCCTGAAGGGCAGAGGAAACAAGGTAAAGCCTTAAACAGGTCAGTCGTGTCCGGCGCAGGATTAGGACAGATGCACCCACCGAATACAGAAGCGTCACCGATCGAGCCAACTTTCTCGGTTGGTTGCCTACACCACGATGCAGAGAAGACACATTGAAGGTTCCTCCATAAACAAGTTCAATTGTTTTTATTTATTATTACTGGCTCCTATCGCTAAGTTAGCACGTAAAAATGAAGTATTATTATTGCTTATGGAAGCCGGGATAACTCAGTACACGGACGGGTTATGGGCTGGACGGCAGGGGTTCAATTCCCGGCAGGCGCACACAATTTTTAACTTATCAACAGCGTCCAGGCCAGCTTTGGAACCCACACAACCCCATATCCAATAGGTGCCATGGATGGTAAATCGGCAGGTGCGTTAAGCTGACAATTCAAGAATGGCGGAGCTATACTTCCACTCCCCCATACATCTTCGTGCTGTGGTGTTTCATTAATTAAGAACATGGCAACTTTACCTTTACTACTACCTTTACTTTACTACCTTACTACCTTTATTACTATTGCTTTGGGGGTGTAATGAAGAGGGCGCCTGAGTATGGAAGCAGCAGCATGTTCACTCCAGGCGCCGGGTTAGAATGGAGTGCACTGCATACACGCAAGTATGTAATACGAACGCACAACGGTTAGTTTGCTTCCGTATCTTTCACATCCAAAACCTGCTAACGGTCTTTGACTAAGTTTGACTTTGCGGTCTACTCTGAAACTTGTATTTTGGTTCCCGCCTGGCACAAGCCTCTCACTAAGAACTCGGCGCAGTATTTTGGAATCCTAGTGTAAATTTCAAACGAACTGGCTTTATGCAGTATTACGAGATTTGTTGTGCAACAGTGAACTTCAGTCGAAAACGAATGTCGAGTTCATTGCAAAATGTAAATTGTAAAATATCCGTTCACTATTTTGATGCTTGGTGTGACAATCACCTGCAACCCACTCAACTGCTCATTATGTGGCGGGAACTGCGAAGTGGAGGGGGGGGAACGTAATCTAACACATAAGAGTATGAAAGGCCTTTGTGAGGCCTCTTTTGGGTACACAAATGCAAACACGCATGTATTACTAGTAACGCCTTTCAGATCTCGTTACTGCTGAGCGAGTAACAATTTTACATACTGAGGTCAAATTGATATTCTACATCCCACTTTAAAACAAGAGCTCCTCCTGCCACCACACAAAGCCTCATTGTCCTCCCGTGACCATGAAGACAGAGAAAGCCTGTCGCGTGCCTAATGCCGAAACGCACGCACACATTATGCACGATACCGTGTCTCGTCTGCAATAGATTCAAGTTGGTTACGTTCAGAACTGGATAGACTTATAACACGTATATTTATAGTTTTGGCACAAATAGACTATGCATCAGTGAAATTAATTATCGTCGTGAGCTATTACACCTGTTCCCGCCTTTGTTTCAAATCTGGCTAGGCCATCGCCAAGTCGTGATCTTAACACGAACGAATCCGAATTACGAAATTTACCATGTTCTGAGATACAGCGCCGTGTAGTACGTATATGAGCCGACGTTTCGGAGGAACGTATCACCTCCATTCTAATTTTCTTTTCTTTTTCGAAACGTTGACTACAGATTGGGAAGCATGTCTTACGCTTCGGAAATGTACGAAACGCCTCGTTTGCGGTGCAAATTCATGCGCGAAATCGCTACATCACACCGAAATGACATCACTGCATCGTCACATCGAATCATATCCCGAGATCACGAAACACTCGAACAGCATATGACTTCTGCAACAGAAACCTCTGTATGCTTCATACCAGAGAAACAAATGTTTTCGGTACCTGCCAAGAACTCTGCAATGGTGGAATAACATGCATACGTGGAAGCTGCTGCAACATCGCAATCATATGTTTTATGAGTGGGCATTGACCTGGTAACCCCTTCAGGCTAATTACGTCCGGAGACGTAATTATAGTGGACCTAATCTGTTAATCACGCCACACTTTGATATGATGAAAAACTGCAAAACAAGACCATAATTTGCAGTAACGTTTATACGGTTTCCACATTTTAACGTAGAAATAGCGAGGCCGAAATGCCTCTTTGAATTTATCAAAAACGTGAATTACGGCACGATATCGTTTTCCAACTACACACCCAAGCCCGCAGCTCGTCTACGAGTCCGGCCAAGTTAAGTAGACTCCAAACAATTTGAAGGCCGGCTAGATGGGACCACCCTCACGCAAGATTCCTCTCACTAGATTCCTTACCTCCAACTCGAGCAAACGATCCAACTCAACTCAACAACGGCTCTCCAGATTCACGTGACACATACACCACACTTAAAAGATGCACTAAAAATGTATTTCAACACGAAAAACACATTCACATTCCCCCCAACACTATACACTTCTCTCAACTGGTTAACATTGCCCTCAACCTACGAAGCACCGTAACAGCCGCAAACCGATATTGCTTCTCTTGATGCCCGTGCTCCTTGCCTCCTTGCTACTGGGGCAAAGGCGTCTGTGCTGCTATCTGTTAATTGGCACGCATATTAATAGTAACAATAAATCTATATAAATTCGGCACTAGACGTTTACTGTTTTACATATATTTCAGTCCGTTATATAATTATTATATTACAGGAGCAAAATATTTATTTCAAAGAAATACACACTTCATTAATTAGATGACGTAATGTATCACTGGTAGAAGAATGCAGCTCCTGCTGCCATCTATTGACATCATTCTCATTGAATTTGGTAGCCAATGAAGGTACGAGTAGTTTCTCAAAATATGGAAAAATATACAGTACTAATTCCTTATTTAGGGTGACGGCATACCAAGGAAACTGGCAACCGGAATTTCCGAGAATTGTTACCAGCCTGAGTTGAACACATGTTACTTACTAAATTGAGCCTGTATGTTGCGGTGCAAGGGCCAACAACGCATATCCCTCATACATTCATACTGAAGATACTGAATGGAGCAGCGCTAATTGAAGAAACGACAACGCTAAGTTTCTCAGAAACTGCGGTTGCCGGTTTCCGACTCAACAAATTCTGCTATGAGTATGAAATCAAGGCCTGTGATGGGCAGCACATAAGAAATCCATACAGAATATGACATGTTTCTATGAACATGGTAATAAAACTTTGGGTCCCATAAAGAAATTTGGTGAGTGCCTTCCAGGTGCTGAAGGTATGTGTGATGATGAAATAGCTGCTTTCCATACTTTTATGGTTCTGAGTCTGAACTTCAGCCTCCTAGTGGGATGGAAGTGTAACACAATGCAGATTACTGAAAGAAATAATCCATATTGTAAATGTCTGGGTAGTCTATTTAGGTGCTGATGGAAAGGGAGACACAGTACATCCGCAGCATATTTCTACTATCATGAATTGAAACCGTCCTGTTACACCCTACTCCACACTGCAGCACACTAACACAGTGTGCCTTGTGCCTGTTGTGTGCACTGCACCAAATGTAGATGTTACTAGGCTTTGTAGCACAGTCATCACTAGGGCCCACATTTTTATGACCTAAAAACTATAAATATATGCATGCACTTATGACCCAAAATTATGTCAAATATGACCTAAAAAGTGTAAAATATGAACTTAAATATTAAATGGGACATAAAATTTCACAATTTTAATTACAACTTTTACTAGAGTTTAAGAATAAAGATGATGAATATATGATAGTAGGTCCTACTTACCAAATTAGCCCTATTATGTCTCTGAAGGAAAGAAAACTGATGGAATTTCGACATTTCGTACTGGATTAAACCATTCATTGTTTTCTTTTTAATACTGATATTTGCATTCATATTTTAGACAAATACTGGTGCACATGGTATGAACACTAACTTAACTCTGTTATCTAAAAACACCATTTAAAAGAACACAAGCTATTCACGTCTCAATTTTCACTGAGTTATTCACGTTTCAATTTTCACTGTTACAACTGCAATTTATAACTACATGCATTTTCAGATTTTCAAATTTGAAAGATCGCCGATTATCACTAAGGATAGTTCTGTATTTGGAAAAACTTCGTTCTACATCACATGAAGTGACAGGAGCTTATTTGAAGAATGTCAAGTCGTTTGGTGACAGTTCTGTATCATCTTCGAATGTTGTTAGTTTACCGGAAAGTATATCTGCAATCTTGCATAATGTTGAATAACCAGCATTACGACGAAGAACACTTTCTATTTTGGTTTTAA